CAAACTATCTTTTAATTAAAATTTAATACAAATATTTTGTAAGTATTTAAAGCAATTGTTTATGTCATGTGGTTTTTTGTTTATCTACCTAATTATTTTTTGTATGATTTATTGTAGCTATGGAAGGAAGAGAAGGGAAGCTTCTTGTTTAGAAGAATTATAATTAATGCTGAATATCTATTTTATAATTAAGTCTATGTATAACTACCAATCAAGAAATTTTTGACACCTTTATTGAACAAACATACGTCAATGTGAATAATGATAGAAAACCGTTAATATTGCCAATATTTTTATTATTTTCAAGCTCGTACATACCTAAAATTACATTTCATTTGCAGTAATGAAGTCTATCAGTGTTGAACAATGTTCTTATATTAGTACCATTAAATATTATGCATTATTAAATAATTAGAAAAGCAACTCAAAATCACCAAACTCTTATTAATTAATTTTTACAGAAATAATATCTTCTCTATGGCGTCCATTTATATACACCTACACTTCTAAAATATAAAACTGAGCTTCATTACCTTTATTGAAAATCTTTTTTTGCGTTAATTTCACTAATATGTTTTGATGTTTACGAGTTTTATGTATTTAAATAAGGAAATATTCTTTTCTTATTATAGCAAAAAAAAACCATTACTATATCGTATTTCATAAATTATACAAAATTTGAAAAAGAATCGTTCACATATTATTACCGTTACTTGTATTATCATTGTTATTCTTCAGAAGTCTTGAAATTTAAGATTAATACAGTATCCCCATACCAAAGATCAGAAATGAAAATGCCTCAGAAAACCCTCTATTGTATACATTATTTTAAAACTAAAAGTATGAGATTAATTTAAAAATATTTTTCTTTTAGTTCTCGGTTTTATATTTCCACATGTACATATTCTAGAATTCATACTTGTTATCTCTTTTCATCTTATATACACGCTTTTTCTCTTTACGAACTGTATATATGTAAGTATAAATTTTGTGTTTATTTTCTCCGCATTATTTATGGGACATGAGTTAATATGACAGGTTCCCTTTTCTTAATTGATTTATGCGTCTTCAATGTACCTAAACAACATTTCAGACTGTCTAAATATTTGCGTTAGTATTTGGATATCATGTTTTATTAGTATGTATGGCGTGTATAAGTCATTGTATATTGTGGTAAGTATGTAAAGCACATGAAATCATTCTGTATTTCGAATGAAAAATAATATTTTTTTACTTTTCAAGTAAAATACGTAAATAAATACGCAAAAGGATTTATTTTTTATGTTATATTACATTTTATTTTTAAATTGTAAAATGAAATTTTGTTTATGGATTTACAAAAAAAAGGATCAAAATATGGGAGTAAAAGAACTTCTTTATGATTTAGCGTTAGAATTTTAAATACTGATAATATTGGATTTAAATTTAGATTCGGTTTTACTGACTGCAATTTCGAAATTCAATACTTTATTTTTTTGTGGAAAAACACGTGTTCTATGGCATAATGCGAATTTTAATGGCTGTACCTAATTTATTCGTTTTAAAGAGCATGACATAAAATAAAATTGATATTATTGATTGCATAACATATTCTCTAAATCTATGCGATATAGGAATAGGATTTACCTTTAAACTATGACTAAATCCTAACTTTATGTAGTACTTATAAGTTTTGAGTTCTGCTAATAGAATTGATACTTCGGGTCATTTCCATTTTTAAGCAGAATGAAGTTCATTTATTATTTAATTTTATAAAATATATTTTACTGGTGCGGTCATAGAATTCTAAATTTGATTCGCTTTTCGAAATTTATCATAAATTGAAATCAGAGTTTCAAACATAGTCCAAATATAATATCTACATAAATTTACAGCTTTAGTGATGACTTATTCTTAATTTAAAAGTGAAATTGTGATTACACATATAATGTATACTTGTTCAATACCGAACTTCGTGTTGCTTCAACTTACAAAAGAGTTTGATGTAAAATTTCTGATTAGACGCTTTTAGAACTATAGCATTAAATTTAAGTGAATTTTATCTACCGCAATTTCATATTCGCCTAAAGTTAGAAAATTTCTATATTCTACTTGCTTTACTAAAATATGTGTTTGGCATATAAAATAAACATACCCCATATTCACATTACGTGTGCTATATTATTACTTGTATTCGAAATGAAAATGAGTAGTGTATAAAATGTCGTTTAAAATTATATTTCAAACAATAACGAGTACATAATCTATAACCATCCATGTTCTTATCCAAGCAATAAGAAACTATATATGCATGTATTCTTGAAAAAGATGGAAATTTCAAGGTTTTGCTCTAAATTTAAAATTTTAAAACATTGTTCTCTGTTAATATTTAATTTTTAAAATAATTTTAATATATTGTATTTGTATACTTGATTTACTGCAATTAACATACTATGTATGAATCTGTATATACGAAAATAAAAGTATGTACATTAATCTTTCAGAATTGAATTAAAAGAAAAGTTATAAGAAAACTATTGAATTTACAATAATTTACAACTTATGCATTACTCAAATCATAATTTTCCCTTCGTACAGTATAAGGATGAACAATTCAAAATTACCAATTCCGAGCTTTTGAATAAAATTTTCAAAATCAGTTCAAATTTAATTTTAATAGTTTAGCATTGAACTAGGCTCTCAATTGTTATGTTTATTATTCTAACAATTATTAATAAATTCAAAAAATTCAAAAAAAAAAAATTTGGGGTTTTGATTGCTATTACTAATAAAATCAATTTTTAAGCTCATATTTGTATGAAAATTCTAACAAGAAAATAATTTTATATAAAGACGAATAAAAAATTTACAAAATCACTTTATAATTCTGGAAGAGAAAACACAGCTTTTATAAATATCGTGATGACTGCAAATGTATTTATGGATAATTCATAATTCATCTTAGAATATATTATTGAACAAGGTTAGAGATTTTGGATTCTAGCATTACTTACATTATCATAATTTTCAAAACTCTTCCATCATTTAACGCGTAAATTTCGGTTCGATACCAGTTTATTACACTTTGTTGCAATATTTTATTTCATGTACAAGTCGATTGCCATTAGACCTATAAAAAAAATATGAGTACTTTGAATAATATTTTTAATATATTTTTTACAATTTAGTTTATTTCTTATATGTAAATTTTTTTATTTCAAAATACTCAAAATTAATCTTAATTTCATCAATAAACAAATTGAAAATTTTCTCTTTCGATTTATCCTGATCTACAATATTTATTGTTATTGACTATAATTTTCATCTATTAAATTAATTTACGCCACCTAGATACTTTTAGCAAACAACCAACTTACATACAAATTAACTTTATAACATTAAATAAAAATTTACATTAATAGCTTTACCCTAAATAATATGAGGAAATAAAATAAATTAAGAAATATATAGGAACAACAAAAATTAGAAAAAGAAAAACTTTTTATAAATCTCATTCTAAAAGGCAAAAAAAAAAAAACAAAGTGTTTCTTATATAATCAAAGTGAATAAATATTATAGTAGCGCCAACCAAGCCACTATAATAGCCGATAACTTTTATTAATCCTACTAAACAAAAACGAAAAAAGTACTTGTCTCAAAAATGACAAAAACTTTTCATAGAAATTTCAAAACCTTAAAAGTGCGGAGAAAGTATATTAAATATATTATGTATGTATGTATGTATATGGATGTAGTATTTGTAGTAACCAAAAAATTTTTCTATATTCTTATATTTTATTACTTTTTAACTGTTATTCAATGTAATAATATTTTGTTATAGCAATAAATATTTTCATTTCTTCGTTTTGTTTATTTGTAAGGATTCATGGAATTCAATGAGCCTTAAAAACTATTTTTGATTTTGATTAAAAAAAAAAACAAGCAATAGATAAAAAGTTTTGGGGGAATTTTTGCTTTCCTTTTAAGTTTTTCCCAAAAATTTTCCTCTTTTCATTTGGGATCTCATATATTTCAGTCTTTTGTTAAAATCGATATTTCGTTCAATAAAGATAAAATTTTCAATGTTCAGTTTTTTTTTCTTTAATTCTATAAAACTATTACAATTGATGATCCTTATTTTTGCTGTTTTTCTCTTAAGGACACATTAATAATAATTTTTTTGTTTTTTGGTGTTCATTTGGTGAGGAAGAGAAGTATTTTTTTTTTCTGCTACATTTGCACTTTTACGGCTATTTGAATATAATTTTCGAAAAAAATTCAAAATTCAATTCCAAGGAAAAAAAAGAAGGAAATCAAAATGGCTCCCCCATTTTTAAATGATATAAAATTATATAAATTTCTGGGTATATTCAAAAGATATACAAAGTAATAGAAAATTTTATAATTCAACAACAAAAACAAAAGTTTTTAAATTATTTTCTAGCTAGACAATATTCATAAAAGTCTTAAAATAGAAAGCAATTTATGTTTACAATAAAGTTATGAATGATAAAATAAACCATAAATTGAGTTGAAAATGAAGTAAGAGATTATCATATTGGATTTATTTATTAAAATTTCAGATATTTATAAGATATTATATGTATACTACTTTCTTTGATTAATCATATTATTATAAAATAAAAGAGAGAATGATGTAAGTATAAACCAATATAAGTACACCAGAATGGAAACCCAGAAATGCTGTTTTTCTAAAACTGTAGAATTGTCCCGGGAATAGAGTGAAATCCCGGAAATATCTATTACAAATACAACTGTTATTTAATCACAATTCCTATATTTTTAACATTATTTTTGTTTTACTATTTAATTCATTCATACCCACACATTGTGTTTTCTTAAGTTACATTTTATACCTAATGCGTTTTAAATCCATTTTTCTTAGATTTGAAAATTTCTGTATACCAATGCATATGAGAAGGAGCTTCTAAATTTCGATAAATTCCATAAAGTGAATCATAAATAAATTGTAAAATTGTATAACAAAACCAATATTATATATACATATTATATTTTACGATAATTACAATAAAATATTTAAAATTTAACAAAAAATATAGCAATCTTTCTTGAGTAACTATTAATTCTAAATAACATTTGCGACTCTCCATACTATTATATTTGCCTTATGTTCAATGAAACATTTTACCAATCTATATGAAACATTACACATATCATCACCTTCAATTACTTTACAAATATTTAAAATTTTCATTGATTCTTCTTCATTTAATCCAGTTATATTTCGTAATCTATCATAAATGATATCATCATTTGGTGCACCATCAAAAATTATTTCATCTTTTTGTAGGCAACAATTGAAATAACATTGTGTCTTATCACTTGCATTTGAAATATCTTTAGTTTTTAATTTTTTAACATCATCTTCAGATAATTGAATTTCTTTTAAACATTCTTCAGTGTATAAACCATCCTTGGGTAATTCTGTAGTACTTTCTTTAGAATTAATCTGTTCCTCTGTATTTTTCTACAATTAAAAAGGCAAATACAAGTGTTATAATAAATTAGAAAAAATATTTTCTCTAAAATAATGTTTTATGTTATTGATTTTTCAAAATTTTAATTTTTTTAGGAATAACAATAATTAAATGTTTTCAATAACAATAGTTACAAGCGAAAGGTTTTCATGTAAGAGTCGGAGACTTGCTATGATCTACATTCTTATAAAATTACTACAATTTCTTTACGCACACATTTTAAGTTTAGATGCTGTAATAGAGCGGATATAAATTAAAAATTTTTCAATCTTTTTAATATTTTTATCAATACTAAGAATAGAGTAATGAACCAATTCAGTGATGAAATTATGAACAATAATATGCTTTAATTAAAGCGGTTAATCAACCGAATTTTCATTTAGCTATCCTGTTTTCCAATAATGTAGCTACATAGATATCTATTATGGATTCAGTTTTATAATATTGCCACAGTACATATGTAAATTTTATTGTTGATGAACTAATTTTAAAATTTATCTTCTATTTACACCGTATATAATTTATAGCGCAAAAAAAAAACTTTTTATATAAAGTGACTCACCTTCATTTGTTTATTTAAAAATTTTCATTCAAATTATCATCGCTATTCGAGCATTACAATTAATAAAAGAAAAGTGAAAATTAAATACGTAACCATCAAATAAAATTTAATATAAAATGAATCTCCATTAAATTTTATACAAGGTCAATTCCAATACAATTATTTAAGTGATTTATTTATGAGAGGAAAAAGCGTATATTATTTTTACTCACATGAAAATTCATTAGAATTAATCAGAAAATTTAGAATATAATAATGGAAGTAAGACATGCAAATTAAATCTATGTATGTACAAAATAAAATGAGATAAAAACAGAAATAGGTAGAGTTGACCGTATCAACTCTGCGACACTTTTACGAATCAATGATTTTAGCAATTGTATTGCATATGATATTGTCACAATGCTTCATGTTGTTTTATATTATGTTGATTATTAATTAAACACTACTTTCATTAATTATGGCCATTGACACATGTTTTTTTGTCCAAATTAAGAACAAACTTTAAAATACCTTTTAAAGTTGTATGGTAGCTACTGCAAGGAGTCTTGCAATTTTAATGACTTTTGTCAAGCATAATAGCACTGATACCCGGTACGAAATTTAATTGCAGTAGTTTCAGTAGTTTTTGAGTTAACCACGTTACTTTTGAAGTTGTATAACAGGTCTCGATCTAATCCAATTAGAATTCTGTTATTATCTATAAAAAACCATTTGTAAAGATTTGGTGATCAGAATTCGAAGTTAATCAAAAACATATCTGAGATCATTATTTCTTGGCATCACAAACGATATATCAAATATATCACACGATTCGAGCATATAAACGTTTGTACGACTAGGTATAATAAACAGGAAATTGAAAAAACATTATGGAAAATAACATTTAGCAGCCCTAAAATTATAGTGCTGAAAGCTTTGTAAATTTAATGAGTGAAGGTATGCGATAAATAAATGTATATACCTAGGTACATAATGTGTAAGCGCTATACACATTACAGTATTATTAGTAATTTACTGATGCGACATCAATGATTATAAAACTAATTTCAATAGAGATTGTAATAATTAATTAGATTACTTGACGTTAGAATTAGATTTTTGATATTAAATGTGCTATTCAGTAGACCAAAATGTTAATTCGTATAATAAATACTGTTATTTTTTTTACATATTATTAGTACTTTCTTGATAATTTTTTCGTACTTAATTTTCGTATACTTTCGAATATTGTTATACCACAATACTGACTTTCACAAAGTCATTATTGTGTTCAAAAATAGCTTTATAAAACGTATTTATAGGCGCTTTATTAGCATATTCATGCTAAATTGAAATTTTGTACTATATCAATAAAAGTTTGAATACTAAGATTATTTAGAGGTTAATTCACCAAATACTAAGTAAGTTAAAATAAGTTATTTATAAGATTGAATAAAGACCGTTCAAAATAAAATGTACTGAACTAGGTGATCTTAAAACCAAGAAAATTATTAACAAGTAATTCACTAAATCTTTGAACTTTTACTTTAATTTAAGACCTGGTTCATGTGGTCTTCATGTCAAACATCTTCCCATACTTAGCATTACGTTAGCTTTTTGAAAAGACGACAACCTCCAATGAGATCTTAATGTTTTATACTCCATTATAGTAAAAGCAATATTGCACTTCCATTTTTGTTTCGTGATACATTTTAAACAGTATTTCCTACTTTATTCAGTAAAGTATTTTCGATAGAAATTCCTATACTAAAATCAGGTTTTTTCAAATAATATTCCTATGTTCTTTTTTTCAAACTCAATCATATTTAAGCCATAATTCTTATTAGTATTTTTCTTGGACTATCTTAAGCCAAATTTGAAATTATGACTTATATAACTAGAGTGCAACTATGGTTTGAAGTAAAACTTATGTCTCTTAATAACAAAGAAACAAGCGGTTTCTATTTTAAACTGTCATTACACCAAGATGAAGCATAAAAATTACTTTTATTTAGTTGATGTTGTGTTATTAAGATTAAATTTATTGTAATTATTAAGATTTAAATTTACCGAAATTTCAGTGGTAGTATCCGAACTCACTAACGGAATTAGAATTAAAACTACATAAAAAAACTTCATTTTTCTATTTCAGGAAAATTTTAGTTTTATTTTTATTTCTTTTTTAAATTTGCACAGACTAAAGTTCACAATATCGCGATACACGATACTTTAATTGCGATTAAATAATGACAATTTTTTATTTATGTAATTATAATCCCGTGTAATATTTCCAAAGCAGGTTACGATTTAATTTGTTTAAACTTTTAACACAAAAAAAAGCTCGTAATGAAAGTGAAACGGTTAGAATGATATCTTCTACTAACTGACGTTAATAAGCGATCATTAGTTTTTATATTTACGATACAAAAATATACCAAAGAATATACGAACTTTATAAGCTTTTTCAATGAATATACAACGGCAAGCAAACAATTACGTACTCAAACTTTAACAGTAAATTTAAATTTTTAATATAAAGTTTAGATGCTTTTACTTTAGCAAGAAGAAATACATTTGATAAAAGTAATGGTTTACGAGACAGTTTTCACGTTTCAAATGTAGAGTCAACCATTTACATTTTAACGGTATAAAAGAACGCCGACGATCTTTTACAAAAAGGGCTCTAGTTGAGCTAAGCAATGTTTTCTAACTCTCAAACTTCCCATTTGCTTGCTAACAATTTATGCCTATAGCTTGTGTACAATATATAACATAGGTTTAGCAAAAGTTAATAAAAAGTTGTTGCTAGCTCAATTGAATATTACGGTTACTGTTATATTCATATTTTGGCTTTTATAGAAGTTATTGGAATATTGTTAAAGAAATATGGGATCGCAAATTAAGATTTTGCGAAAATTTAGAATGTAATAAATCGAGAAGGAAATACAAAGAAATTTTGTTACAATATAATGAAACTTACATATGTATATATCAACAGTAAAAATTTTGACAGTAATTTAAAAACTTTAATTTTTACAGTAATTTGTATACTCGTACAGTTTTTTGAAATAGAAATAATGTAAGAATACAGACGATAAATCAAGGTTGTTTCTAACATTTTTAAAATTTTTATGTCTTGCACTTTTCATACAATATTCCTTTTTAAATTTGCTCACAGGCCAATTTACTTAGAGATTATTATTTTTTTTAGTAATTTAAATTGCAATAGAATTTTATATTGAATAAATTTATAAAACTTTATGAACAACAGAGAAGAATTATTGCGACATAATTTGAAATGTATTTCAGGATTAACAAAGTAAAAAAGAGCTCCTTCAACTTTCTCAATCATGAGACACGAGAAACTTATTCAAAATAAAATCTCAAAATGTCACCAACGTTTGATATCTAAAACTAAAAATAATAGAGTCGTGTCAAACCAATGATTTGTAGAGTAGTGGTTTTTCCTTCAGGAAATGAAAATGCTGCTTTTAAAAACAATCTATTTGGACCTTCAACACTATTAAAATTACTTTCATTCATATACCAAAATATTTCAAAGATTGCATACACTTAGGATGAAACAAGAAAAAATATTGAAGAAGGCGTAACATAATGTTCAAATTCAAGAATTATTTGCGCCAGATAATCAATTATATTTTCGGTGGCATGTAATTTACCGTTAACTTTTGCATTTATAGAAATTTAGAAAAGATTGTAGTTTTGGAAATATAAAGTGCAAAAAATTCAAATTTTATAAATATCGTGGAGTGATAATTTGAAAGGAGAGTGTATGGTGGAAAAATTTTTTTAGGACTATTAAAATTTAAGCAATTTACATTTTGCTGTTAAAAGAAAAACGATATTAAAAATTTAAAGAAAAGGACTTTAGATAAGGAGTATTAACCCGTTAAATGCCATTTTAGGGACTTTGAGAGAATATAATTTTTAGAGGACGACATAATTTTTTAGACGGATGGCCGAACTGAGTGAAACTAATAAGTATTTTTGCAATTTTTTTTTTTTTTGGAAAAGTGCTTGAAGTATATTTTTACATTAAATGCAACAAAAAAAAATTTAGAAGTAAATTTTAATTCCTGTTTACACTAAGATGCAGACAAGATTTACGAAGTAAAAGAGTGTAAAAAGCCATACATAACAAACTTTCGCATATTAAAAATTCTGTCAATTTTAATTGCAGGGATCCACAATGCAATATATAGATAGTGGGATTAGTTGAGCTACCCTGAAAACGTGTCTATCTTTAAACTGCATTTTAAAAATCACAACTTCTACACTATAAGACTTAATGAGCTGAAAGAAAGTTCGTTAGAAAGGTTTCAGTAGCGGTTTCAATCCTATTGGGAAGAGGTGGTTGGAATTGGACATGGAAAGTGACCTTTACTTTCCATTCTTTACGTCTTCAACAACTACCAGAGATAACTCTGAAAGAGTTTTAAAATAAAAGTACTAATATTCAACTACAAAATTTGATCGCAAGCATTTCTGAGTAGTGTATAAGAGCATTTGTTAAAAGCTTTTTATACTTAAATAAATAAAACTTAAATTTTACCAAAATTGAAGTCATATAATTTTACATATGATTGCAAATATTTAGCTTTAACTTAGACTCAACAGTTTTTCACTGAGCTGAGTAGAATACCAAATCGTTTTTCTGGATTTTAAAATTATCAGTTGAATTAGAACTTAGAAATTTCAAAATTGCTCTTAATGTCGTTATACTATAATGCAGTTCCAAAAACAGCTATAAGAATTGCTATGTTCAATGTTCCAGAAACAAACAACAAAACCCGAATAATTCTTAACAATAGCTTTTTGCTCTATTTGAATTTCTCTGACACATCGTCAAACTTCATTTTATTTTTTTTTCTGAAAAAATGTTTAATTTTTTTTATATCGGAAAACACCCTCCTTTTGTGGTCTTTTGAAACGAGACTTGTTTTGTTTTCATATTGTATTAGTTTTTTTTAAGTTTTGTTTTTATGACAACATAAAAAATAATGCTTGCTACCGTCTTAAATCAACCGGGCATTTGTAAAACATTTAAGAAACAAACAACGAAATGAATTTTTTTATCTGCAACTGCAAACTATATGAGAGCAAAGAAAAATTTGAGAAAAAACTTTAGAATTTTTTATAGAAAACAAGGGTGTGCAAGATTGTAGATTTGTTTGGTTAAAAGCATGCAAGATAAAATTTTTAAGCAGAAAAGTGTTGTATGGTAGGCCACTGAACATAAAAGGAATATAAAAATTGTTTGAAATAAAAATAAATGAAAAAGAAACAAAAACATTTTGTAGTTTTGTTTAATTAAAAAAGAGAAGGAGCAATCGTTTGAGGAAATAGTGGGTGACTCTTTCTAAATCGTATTACATGACGTTATAACTGAATTTTATCCTAGCAAATAAAGTGCAGTACTATTTGTAATAAATGAATTTTGGAATTACTATTGACCAAATTTTGATTGAATTAAAGGAAGTGAATTTGGATATTAATAAAAATATTTTATTAAACAAAAAATAAGCATAAATTTCATTATAGCAGTTACGAAAGCTTCAATTACTTTATTGCACCTCGATTTAAATAACTCCCCCTGAAAGATTATAATAAAGTAATTTCTGATTACTGAACAAACTTTAATAAACAACATTTACCAATTATTTATAAATATTCTTGTATTTTACGAATACTTATTGATATTATAATGATTTACGTGATTTACGTTATATTGTTATTATAATCATTCAACGCTTCTTAATTGTGATTAATCACATTCATTTTATAACCACCTGAATAAATGATAACTATTAAAGAAATTTAAAAATATAACTAAAAATATTCAAGTAATGGAAGCATCAAGAAGTAATTTTATTTGCGCCATTTGTATTAATATTGTTAGATCAGACTATCCTCATTTTCATAATTACAAGTCAAATTATACACAAGTAATCTAATTGACCGTTTTTTTCCAAAACCATATCGTGGCTCTTGAACAGCAGTTAGCTTAGAACCTTTCCATCTGAATTTTGTTTCACTCAATTTATTATTATTATTATTTCAATAATAATAACTTCGACAATAAGAAAGGTACTATTATTTTCATACCGAAATTTACTGTGTTTTAATTTCAACTGTTTAAGCTGGGTTTTAAGTAAATAATTCTTTAAATGTTTGTACTACAATACCTGAGAGAGTGATACCACATGAACAGTATTCCCAGTATTATTTATAAATACTAAAACTATGCAAATAGTAAAGGTGTTGAAAAATTAATTTAATAAAAGTCGTTTTTACATTTAATTTCTATGCAGAAACACTCAAAGTTTCTACATTTGATTCTATTTTGAGTCGTGATAAGTTTTCAGCTGCAGCAGCAGATATATGACGAACAAATTGTCATCTGGAATGCGTACCTAACATTGATGACACCAAGAAAACTGAAGTTTTATTTCATTTTCAACTAATCGCCATTTATTTCATCGCCATTAATAATTTTAAGCAAAGCAACCGGTTATATTTGGTTTATCACATTAATTAACACATTTATTAATAGACATTTATTAAAGTAACGTATTGTTGTTGACTACAAAATTAAGTAAATAAGAAATTTAAAACTAGCTGAGAATATTTTATACTTGAATCTTTTATTAAAAATACCTTGTTTATTTTTCTATATTCCTTAACAAAATTTATAAGTATACTTATACATTTGTATAATTATTAATAAATGAAACCATTTCTTAGGAATTATGTTTTTATTATAATTAATAGAGATGAAACGTAGAATCCTTGAAAATATAACTTCTTGATGCTTAGCATCTGCCACAATATCCTTATTAATGATTCTTATTTTATTTTCTTTTTTCTTCTTCAACTACTCCCTTAAACACTACTAGTAGTAGGAAGGATAATGATGTTGATTAAAATATTGTTAATTACTTGTGTAAGATTGTTTTTTAGTTGCAGTAATCAGGATTGTACTCATCATTATATTCATTTTAATAATTTCAATGTTCAGAACAGTATGAGAGGTAGGAAATTTTGAAGGAGTTACTATCGCATATACACACAATATTTAAAATATTCATAATACTATAATTGTAGATATTTTCGGCCTAAACTAAAGTTAAAACGAAAATTTTAATTAAGTTGAACTTCAAGGACTTTAAATAACATTATCACGTAGCCATACAGTTTTTGGCTTCTGTTTTCATTTAAGGAATATTATTACGTTTAGTAGATTAATATTTTAAGTAAGTTTAGAGAGGAACGTGAATAATGTAAGGAATGACATCAATTTGATATTGTAAAAATAGTTGTTCATAATTATTTAAGTTGCAAATTT